TGGTGGGACTGTAAACTAGTTCAACCACTGTGGAAAACAGTGTGGCGATTCCTCAAGGATCTAGAACTAGAAATACCATTTGACCCAGCCATCCCATTACTGGGGATATACCCAAAGGATTATAAGTCACGCTGCTATAAAGACACATGCACATGTATGTTTATTGCGGCACTATTCACAGTAGCAAAGACTTGGAATCAACCCAAATGTCCATCAGTGACAGACTGGATTAAGAAAATGTGGCACATATATACCATGGAATACTATGCAGCCATAAAAGAGGATGAGTTCGTGTCCTTTGTAGGGACATGGATGCAGCTGGAAACCATTATTCTCAGCAGACTGTCACAGGAACATAAAACCAAATACCACATGTTCTCACTCATAGGTGGGAACTGAACAATGAGATCACTTGGACACAGGAAAGGGAACATCACACACCAGGTCCTGTTGTGGGTAGGGGGTGGGGGTAGGGATAGCAGTAGGAGATATACCTAATGTAAATGAGGAGTTAATGGGTGCAGCACACCAACAGGGCACATGTATACATATGTAACAAACCTGCACATTGTGCACATATACCCTAGAACTTAAAGTATAATAAAAAATAAAATAAAATAAAATGGAAAATACAGAAAGTGAGGTGGAAAGGGTATTCTGGCAGTGGAAAGAAAAAGTGGTTGACAACCACTTATAAAAAAAAAATAAACTGTGTGGGATAAAAGAAAAATATTTTGGTTACACATAGACGAAAAGTGGGAGAATTTTACTAAGATCAAAATAGCTATCTTTCTACAACTTTCTAAGACATACTAAAATAAGTAGATAGTTATAAAGCATTAGTTTAACTAGTATTAAACTAGCAAAATGCTCTAAGATCTAACTGATAAAACTGGAACCAGCTGCTACCAATCTGAGATTTAGACAAAACTATGAGTGAAGCTGCAGAATCAGTGGTGTAAAAATGAGACTGTCATGATGAATGGCAAGTCTGCTAGAGCTAGAAGCGAAAGGCTTTATTTGGTTTCCATCCAGAAGAAAGACTTCAAGCCTGAGGGAAAAATATACAACAGAAGTTGTAGATGTTTGTAAGTCTCATTTCTTCACACAAGGCAAATGGACAGCATTTTTAACACTAAGATTATTAAACTCCATGGCAGGTCACTTTTTGAGGTATGGAAGAGATAAGATTGAGGATGGGGAGGGGGAGGTACTTTATTTCAGAAGAAAATCATGATTCACATGCATAATTACAGAGAAAGTGTATCCCAGTGATAACTTTTGAGTCAGGAGTCTGAGTAAATTATTTTAATTAAGACCTGGTACCTCAGTTTCCTCATTTGCACACAGAGAACATTAAGATTAGGTAATTCCCGGCCAGGCACGGTGACTCACGTCTGTAATCCCAGCACTTTGGGAGGCTGAGGTGGGCAGATCACTTGAGGTCAGAAGTTCGAGAGCGGCCTGACCACCATGGAGAAACCCTATCTCTCCTAAAAATACAAAAATTAGCCGGGTGTGGTGGCACACACTTGTAATCCCAGCTACTTGGGAGGCTGAGGCACAAGAATCACTTGAACCCAGGGAGCAGAGGTTGCAGTGAGCTGAGATCACACCACTTCGCCCCAGCCTGGGTGAAAGAGCAAAACTTCATCTCAAAAACCAAGTAAATGAAATAAGATTAGTTATTTCCCTATTATAGTTGTTGACTTTAATAGGAAAAATAAAGATCATAACACATATATGTTACACATAGCACATCTGGCATTTACAAAGCGTTCAATAACTACCTGCTATTAGTATGATTGTTAGAACTTTCTAAGGAAACAAGCCTACAGGCTAAAAGAGAATAATCCATTTTTTTCTATTGATTTCCTCAGTAAGACTTTCTTTAAAAAGCCTTAAATACTGCAGGATTGAGGAACATGTTTTATTTGCAATCAGCCTGCGGACATGCAGAGAGAAGACAAAGGACTGCAGCACCTGGGTGGGTGTTAGCTGATTTTCTGGAAGGGTGGATTCTCAGATCTGTGACATGCAATGGTATGAGAGGCAGACTACAGAGGGAAACCTCCAGGAAGAGTCTGAGGATAACCTTGAACTCTACTTGATCGCAAAACGTCTTGAGGATGCAAATGTACGTGTAAAAATCTATCAAAGACTTTGTTGTTGGTGATGAGATCCACTTACTTTACTTGAATTCAACAAATATTAATTGAGTTGTTTCACTGGGGAACTTCCACAAGGAAAAAACAAAGACCAATGCTTGAGGAGTTTATAATCTAAGGGGAGGGTTGAGACAGGCAATAAAAAATAATAGAAAGCAATGGGTCACAGTAGTAAATTCTCAGTGAACGCACGCTATTACTTGGGAGGCAGTGTACTAACCGTCTTCTGGACATTATATCATGTACTGATATTAAATCTATAAAGTAAACATTTATATCACATCCATTTTAGAAGTAAACTTAAGCTTAGAGAGTTTAATAATTTGTCCAACATCGTACCATTTCTATAGAGTCAAGACTCAAATAGGGATTTACTGCACCCCAGAGCAGAGTTCTTAACTGCTTAACTAAGGTGCAGTTTCAAAGTGGAGGTACCTTGTCACGTGTTTCAGAGGAGGAGGGTACAGGATTAGGAAGGGAAGCTGGGATTAGGAATCTATTCCTGAAGAAGGACAAATGGGTCTTCCATCAGAAAAGGTAGTTGAGGGGATGAAGCAGGCATGCACAGGAGAGAAAGTCAACTGCACGGAGATATTGAATGAGGATAGTTTGTGAGCATAACAATTGGTTGTAATATTACAGACAGTTAGGGAGGGAGGAAGATGGGAGAGACAGAGAATAAGGAGGAGGAAGAAGAAGGGAGAAAAAGAGAGGGAAAGAAAGAAAGGTGCTGTGTATAGGAGACAGATTAAACCATTAGCTTGAGATCAAATCTCGGAGTGGTGTGTTAAATTTCTGGCTAGCAAATTTATACTTAATTTGCAGAAAATGAAGTCACTACAGGTTCTAGAATTAGGGAAAAGTGTGGTAAGTGCTATGGTTTAGAAATATTTATGCAGTGATATGTGAGATCAATTGGAAAAGGGAACCACAAGGGAGACATTGGTACTTGAGGCAGGAATTACTATATTATTGGAATAATCTAACTGCAAGTAATAGAATAATAGAGGCTTGAGCAATAACTACAGGAATAAAGCATCACAACATGGGGAAATGTCTCATGTATTTTGAGATGGCCTCTGCAAACAGTTTGACCAATGAATAGACATCCTGGACACAGGAGAGGACAGGCTAAAACGCGCTGATAGTGTTAAGCATGAAACAAAAGGCAAGTCTGGAAGAAGGCTTATTTGGGGAAGTAGGAGTGGAGAGAGAAGGCAGAGTCAGAAATGAGATAGGAATTAGGGATGAGGTGAAGGTCTTTTGTACATATTGCTCGCCATTTAAAGAGAAGTCAAAGCGTAATTTTCTTAAAAAACCACCAAACCTCTTGCTTCATTGTCTTTTTAAGATCAAAATAAGTTGAATGGTGCTCCATAAGAGATGCATATTGTAAAACTATTTGGAGAATGTCTTTTAAATGTTATTTTTCTTTAAAGATGTTTGTGTTAATAATGAGTGAGCAGTTAACAGTTTTGCTTATGACTTATGGAGCAATGTGTTGTATCCATTCAGTGATTCACTCAACAAATATGTCCCTATTATATTCCAAGACCTGAATTAGGTATCAGGAAACCTTTGGAGGATTCACAGTCTTGCTTGGGAGAATGAGAAATAGTTACAATAAACTACAATCTGTGTGAAAATGACAATGATAATGGCAATAGAAATTAATGTTTCTCCAGCCTTTCATTTAGCATTGTACTAAGTCGGTTGTCTGTACTGTATCTCATTTAATCTTCACAATAATCTATGTGATGATATCAATTTGCCTATGAAGATACATATTAAAGAAGTAATGTAATTAGTCCAAGATTACACAGGTAGTAAGTAGCAGAGCTAGTGCTCAAACCCAGGACTTAGCTAAATCCAAAAGGTTTGGAACTAAGGGATGGTTTGATAAATTCTGTGGTTTAAAAAATTGTATCCAACAGTAATATGTGGAAATGATTAGAATAAGGAGAAACTGATATTTGACAGAGAAGTTAGTAGGTTATTATAATGGTGTAGCTGAGGAATAACAAAGGCTTGAGCAATGATTATAGAAGTTAAACAGTTTCAAGACATTTTGAGGTAGACTACAAATAATTTACTTAGCTTCTATGTGGATGTGTGCCCAAAGTCCTATGCATGGGCCAAGCCCTGTGGGATATGAGATTCTCCCTGCCCCAGGAGCATATGGACCATGTAATTCAGCCAGAATTGGCTTCCTAATTTCACTTTAACTGTTACCGGCTAGAATCAATGTCCTGTCTTAGAGCTGTAACCTCCAAGCTTTCCCCCATGCATTCAATGACGTTAAGATTGTTATCATCCTTTCCCACTCCAGGGTCTTAAAGTGCTGGGAATTGCACTTACTCTACTTTCTGAATTTGATATCAAACTGATTTTAGCTGCATTTTTATACGAGAAGTTGCCTAGCCTTAGTCAGGTAGCATGAAATAAAACACCAAGGCATCAGGGAATGTACATGCAACAGGAATGTTTGAAACAGTGGCTTTGTAGACAAGAGTGGTGGGTGTCAATTAAGTCTGTAGTTGTCACTTAATTGCTCTGAATTGCAGTTCTTTAACAAAAGGTGATAAAACTCATGTGAAAAGCCCGTTTTGATAACCAAATTACACACATATTCATAAACATTTTTAACTAAAGAATATATATATATTCTCTCTCTATATATATCCTATATATATATATATATCTCCTATCTCTCTCTCTCTCCATGATTCTATTTATCCTGATCTTTCTTGTAAAGTAAGAACAATTATAAACTATTAAAAAAACACATCAAATTGAAATAAATCAGATATTCTTATTTGCATAAGAGAATACCTCAATGTGTCCTTAGTTTTTGGTGATGTTAGTTCTGTCTGTACACCATTCATAACTTCTCTCTCTTCCAAGTTCTGCGTGGAATCCTATAGTGAAACAAAGTCATAAACATGTGATGCTATGCATATTGAATTGAAAATCTGAATAAAATATCTCAGTATGGGATAGTAAACGGCTTTACACTGGATATATACAGTATGCTCTAATGTCTTTGAAAACTGGAAGCAGGTGTTAATCTTTTTGGTGCTTTCAATGTTCTTTTCTCTCCTGTTTGGTTTCTGAAATGCTCAGATGTGTCATGTATACAAGGCAGTATGTTAAGAGCTTTGGAATACTTCATGTAGCTTCTTGCTACTCCGCCATAGGCTTTTGGGATTGAGTGTTTTAAACCAGGAACGAAAAGAATACCGAAGGGGAGGCTCTGGTGACAGATGGTGATATATTAGCCTTAAGGTACGTACTTGCTTGCCCCCACAACATTAAATATAAAGAAAGCAAAATCCATGAAAAAACACTGCTTGGCAAAGTCACCTCTGTCAAAATCAGGCAGAAACACTGCAGGAAGAAGAAATCCAGAATTCTTTGTCATGAAATTTGATTCTGAGGATAATCTTCAGAGAGAGATTCAAATTGCCCATTTAATTTCTAAAATTGTACACAGGCTCCCACTACAGAAAGGTTAGAGGGTCAGAGAGGCCCTCTATTCCAGGACAGTGGCAAAGTTGTACTGGATATTACCCAGAGAAGCAGAGGAGAGGATGGATTCTAGAAAGCATGCCTGATGCTGCTGCTTCCTTATGGAGGACATTAGGCCTCAGAGCTGTTCTCTAACAGGCAATCCTGTGGACACCCCTCTCTTCACAAGTGGAGTCACAAAAAAGTATTGTTAGACATGGACTCTGGTTTCACCAAAGCAACAAACCAGATACAGAAAGACTTATCAAAAATCCACACTTATAAACAGCATTTATGCATCCAAATGCATTATTGCAACAGAGTAACGAAGACAATATACAAGCTTAAGAGGCTGGACATGAGTAGATTAGGTTATTATCTTTTTTTTTTTTTTTTTTTTGAGATGGAGTCTCGCTCTGTTGCCCAGACTGGAGTGCAGTGGTGCGATCTCAGCTCACTGCAACCTCTGCCTCCCGGGTTCACACCATTCTCCCGCCTCAGCCTCCGGAGTGGCTGGGACTACAGGCGTCCACCACCAGGCCCGGTTAATTTTGTTTTTGTACTTTTAGTAGAGATGGGGCTTCACCATGTCAGCCAGGATGGTCTCGATCTCCTGACCTCGTGACCTGGTCGTCTTGGCCTCCCAAGTGCTGGGATTACAGGCGTGAGCCAGCGCGCCCAGCCAGGTTATTATCTCTAGGAAAGTAAGACATAACTGCAACAGAAGGACTTTGTTGTAGTGAACTGAGTTAAAAAAAGAAGTCTCTCACTTTTAGATTGAGTAGCAACATTTCATGCAGGGGTTGGTAGTTTTGTGAAAGACTTGGTCTATACTAGACTTTTTAAAAATTAATTTTCTCCTTTTCACTTAGATAAGAAAGAATTTCCATAAGGCTAAAAAACACTTCATAGTTTAAAGTACCAAATTTTAAAAGATGAATGTTTTTGAAAGCTTTCAAATATTCATATTATGATGAAGGGCTTGATATATGCTTACAGATAAATGGAGACAGGGTTGAGCAGGTTACAAAAATACTTAGGTAGATAATTTAACATAATAGTGGAACCTGTGATTATCGTGCATATCAGGATATTTGATGACCTCATTTTTGCCAAAATCATTAACTTTCTTATCTGTTTCTCTTACACAGGAATGAATTTGTATCTCGTTCTCTATATATCAAGCACATAACACCAAGAGTTCATTGTATTAATTTTTTAATGTTGCATAATAAATTATTCCACAACTTAATACATTAAAAAAATAAACATTCATTATCTCTCATAGTTTCTGTGAATCAGAGATTCAGAAGTAGCTTAGCCGGGCAATTCTAGAGTTGGATCTCTGGTAAGTTTGCAGCCCCATGTCTGTGGGGCTGCAGCTATGATCATTTAAAGGATTGCTTTAAGATTATTTTTATTTCTTACAACAGCTTTATTGATATGTAATTTACATTACAGTCACCACTTTAAAGAGTACAATCAAGTGGTTTTCAATATATTCAGAGTTTTGTAATCACCACCATCTAACGTTAGAACATGTTTATCACCCCAAAAAGAAACCCCAAACCCATTAGCAGCCATTCCTCATCCTCCCCTTCCCCAACAGGCCCTGTCAATCATTAATCTAATTTCTGTCTTAAAGGAGTTGCCTATTTTAGACATTTCATATAGGCAGAATCATAAGATATGTGGCTTCTTTCACGTAGAATAATAATGTTTTCAAAAGCTCATCCATTGTAGTATGTATCAGTATTTTACTCCATTTTATGGCCCAACAATATTCCACTTTATGGATATACCACATTTAGTTTATCCATTCATCAGCTGGGGAGCATTTGGGTTGTTTCCACTCTTGCCTATTATGAATAATGTTGCTATGAACATCTGGGTACAAGTTCTCGTGTGAATATATGCTTTCAGTTCTCTTAGGCGTACACTGTGGAGTGGAATTGTTGGTCATATGGTAACTCTATGTTTAACATTTTGAGGAACTGCTGTTCCCACAGGTCTGAATAATTTGCCATGATTCTTACCAGTAATACATGAGGGTTTTAATATGTCCATAGACTTGCCACAACTTATTTTTATTTTTAATTTATTTTATTCATCCTCATGGGTATAAAGTGATATGTCATTGTAGTTTTGATTTGCATTTCTGTAATGATTAATGATGTGGAGCTTCTTTCCCTGTGATTATTGGCCATTTGTGTTTCTTCTTTGGAGAAATGTCTAACTGTATGTCTTTTTATTATTGACCTGTAAAGAGTTCTTTAAATATTCCATTTACAAATTTCTTATCCAATATATGATTTGCAAATATATTTTTCTGTTGTTTGGGTTGTCTTCACTTTCTTCATGTGTCCTTTAAAGCACAAAAGTTTTTTATTTTAACCAAGTCCAATTTATTTATTTTTTCTTTTGTTGCTCGTGTTTTTTGGTGTTGTATCTAAGAAACATTGCCTAATACAAGGTCACAAAGATTTACACCTTTGTTTTATTCTAAGAATCTTACACAGTGTTGGCTCTTACATTTAGGCCTATTATCATTTTGAGTTAATTTATGCACATTGTGTGAGGAAGGAGCTCAAATTCATTCTTTGTATGTAGATATCTAGTTGTGTTAGTATCATTCATTGAAAAGACTGTTTTTTATTCATTGAATTGTCTTGACACCCTTACAGAAAATGAATTTCCCAAAAATATAAGGGTATATTTCTGGATCCTTTGTACTTCATTCATTGATCTATACATGTCTATTCTTATGTCAGTACGACACGGTCAATTATTGTAGCTTTGTACTAAATTCTGAAATCAGGATGCGTGATTCTTCCAAATTCATTCTTATTTTACAAGATTGCTTTGGCTATGCTGGGTCTCTTGCATTTCCATATTAACTTTAGAATCAGTTTGTTAATATCTGAAAAAAAAAAAACCAGTTGGGTTTTTGCTAGGGATCGCATTGAATATAAAGATCAATTTGGAGGGTATCGCCATCTAAGCATCATAAAGTCTCTCAATCCATGAACAGTTAACAGTGACAATTAATAAACATTCTTTTTAGTTTCATAATTCTTTGTGGGATGTATCCTCAGGGTATCAAAGAAAAAAACTGTGATATTTGCTATAAAGTTGTATATAATTATTGTTGCCTCTGCACCATACTCTAAATGGAACGTGCTTGTTGATCCCTAAACAAGGTAGAAAAATAACATATTTTCTGGCTCAAATCAACATTATGCAAGGTTAAAAAATGAATTTTTCATCTAGTTCCAGTTAGATAGCAAATAAAGGTTCTTTTCATATCAACAACATACTTAATGCTCTGAGTATACGGAAATGTCAATTACAATTTGAAAGTAATATTGGGCCAATTACAATGTCATAATCTGCTCAAGGGTAATTCTGAACTGAGTACACATTTGGAGAAATCATGTCAATAACTACAGACTTGAAAAAGAATACACATTCACAGACTTATATCTCCTATTATTATTAAGATAACATCAAAAACACTTCCCTTGCCACAGCTATCAAAAAGGGGTAGTAACTATAGTTTATCACCTCAACTAATGAGCAGTGTTTGTCACTTGCCAAGCTCATTTCCACATACTGCACTAACAAAATTCTTTGATATTCTCTGAAGATGGGGCAGGCAGACAGATGTTTAGGGCATCCTATAAGGACATAAAGCCAATTTCAAACTGACTTCAGCAACACTGTAGCTGTGCAGTGCTTCAATACTTATCGACAAAAGCAGTTTACCTCTTAACAGGGTACATAAAATCATTTTTTCCAAAAATTACAAAATAATTGACAAACAATAAATTAAGAATACTTAAGCTTTTCCTTCACTAAATTATATGGTAAAATGAAAAATCATGAAATTGCACATGTCTCAAGATGAAAATATACTTTTCCTCATTGCTTATTTAAATGACTTTGAAAAAAATCTGTAAGACGACTTTTAAATTTGGAAGGAAAGGTAAAAAAACAACCCTGATTATGAAGAGCCAGAGGAATAAACAATTGATGCCAAACAGCTACCATATTTCTTCAGCTTTAGGTTTGAGAAATAATAATTACGTGATTTCAAACCCTCAAACTTGCCTCTAGAAAACATAACAGTTTGGAAGCGCTATAATTAATTTTATTAATATAATTATTACAATTACTATTTTTAATGTTAACACAGAAGCATATAATCAGCTGTATGATATAGAACGTATAGAGCTATTTCAAAATTTATTTCGTCTCCTCTTTTGCTCAAATGACAAGGCTTTACTCTCTAAAAATAAAGTTCCGCAGGAGATTGTGTCCTGTCAACTGGTCAGAGACCTTTAAGAAGTTTGCCCTTTACCACTTTCATCAGAGCAGGCAGCAGGCAGATATATGTGGCTCTCACAACAGA